AAATAGTTTCAAAAAAGCAAATTTTACCTGCGGAATAATCTTGAAGACATTGTTCCTATGTATAAATATGAAATATCGTTCACAAGAATTTCAAATTATCATTGCAAATAAAGAATTAATTTTTACCACAAATATATCCTACCTATCAATTCAGAAAAAAAAAATACCATAAATATTATTTTTAAGTTAAAAATATGAAAGAATGAGATACTAAGCATTCCTCTCTTGGACTGATCACTGGAAACTACGAAGTAAAAATCAATGACTGTGTTATAATCATTGTTCTTGTGGAACCAATATTCCTGGGTCATCCATACCCACGAATTTACGTCCCCATGAACGATTATTTTGTCAACTCATCTATTCATTGAATTTTCTGTGTAAATGAAATTAAGTTCCCTCGCACCAGTAACAGTTTGCTTGCCCACGAATATTGACTCCCAAGAATTACAATGAATTTGGAATATTTGAAGTGAAAAGGTGAAGATAATGAACAGAGGTCAGTATAGCCTATAAAGATACAAACAAAAGAAAACACTGATCTCTAGGAATACAGTTCCAGTATAGCCTATAAAGATACAAACAAAGGAAAACACTGATCTCTAGGAATACGGTACCAGTATAGCCTATAAAGATACAAACAAAGGAAAACACTGATCTCTAGGAATACGGTACCAGTATAGCCTATAAAGATACAAACAGAGGAAAACACTGATCTCTAGGAATACGGTACCAGTATAGCCTATAAAGACTCAAACAAAGGAAAACACTGATCTCTAGGAATACAGTACCAGTATAGCCTATAAAGATACAAACAAAGGAAAACACTGATCTCTAGGAATACGGTACCAGTATAGCCTATAAAGATACAAACAAAGGAAAACACTGATCTCTAGGAATACGGTACAGTATAGCCTATAAAGATACAAACAAAGGAAAACACTGATCTCTAGGAATACAGTACCAGTATAGCCTATAAAGATACAAACAGAGGAAAACACTGATTTCTAGGAATACGGTAGAATCAGGTGCTTATAGGATTTTAGATACAATATTCCTCATACATGTGTTGTATAAAGCACTCTTCAGGAAACAGAACCATGCTTTTCATATAGACGAACAAGATTCTTTGCAATATCAAGGAAACATTGACCAATCTTGACGAATGAGAAAATATACATGATTAAAATATGTATGCATTGTTAAAGTGAAGCAAGTTAAAGATGTTGTGATTAAGTTTATTCCACAGTTTGATCTATATGGTTATTACATATGAAAGCTCTTGTTATTGAGTTTATTTCCAGTTTGATCTCTATGGTTAGTTCAAATCAATTGATACAATATAACATACAAAAGAAAGCTGCTTTGATTAGGTTCCGCAGTTTCATCTATGTAGTTTTTACATTTTAGAGCTGTTGTGATTAGGTTCAGTACGCAGTTTGATCTATTTTGTTAGGACAAGAAAACAGCTAATTATCCGGACATTATTTTTTTTAATCACGCAATCTATTTTTTTAATGCTAAATTTAAAAAAAAAATGACGCAAATTTATTATAATTTTCGCTACTAAGTATTTGCCTCAAACATTTTAATAATTTGAGCGTGCAAATCACGGTAGTTTAACAGTGAAGAGATATCCAAAAATGTATTTATTTATTTTTAAATTTAAATAAGTAATTGTATCAATGATTTTGAAGAAATTACTTTTATTATTGGTAAAGCTTTATTTTGTTGAAATAGTTTACCCAAATTTTATAAAATATTTGAAATTCGACTACACATTTTTAAAGCAGCAATATTTTAACATTAATATGCATAATTTTTTATTGAATAAGTTTGATATAGAAAAGTGCATTTTTTAAAAAAAAAATGTAGATAACGAAAAGTGCATGATTGATCACAAATTTCAATAAAACAATATAAATTGAGAATAGGGCAAACGTGGGGCCTTTAAAATACCAATTGTGAGATTAGGTGTCATGGAAGAGTAACTCCGCTTGTCGACTGGTCATACCCACCGTGAGCCCACTGTATTGACCAGAGACAAATCAGTATGAATAATTGATTGATTGCCAATCGGTATGTAAGCAAAGACCTGGCAGTTTGAATGTAGAACTGTCAATAATTGGACGCATCGAAAGGTTTGTGTGTGAAAGAAGTTATTGTTTTAAGGAATATATAATACTAGTATGCCAAATCTTGAATTTAAGCAATATTGTTGATACCCTAATAAAATCAACTAAATTGTAAGCAGCTTATCTTGTTAGGAATTGACCATACAAAGACTATGCTCTTGTGTATTTAATCAAAGGGAGGGCATACTCACCATATGAATTATTTACAATGGACAATAATCCTAACATCTTATAATGGAAAAGTTCAGTATTACAAGATATGATTAAACATTAAATGTGATCCCGGTTCTTACGGATTCTTCTCACCTCAATTAAAAGATGTACAAGTACTGTGGATATCCTCATTTTCGTGTAGCAAATCCGGCATTGTAATCAAACAGACAAATTGCTACATTTTTACGTTGTTTATTCAATATCATGTGTTGACTCTCTTTTCTGATATTTGAGGTAAGATTTTATATCTATATCTTCCAATCAAATGCTGCAAAAGATAATGATTAAGTATGGGAGAGTTTGCTTTAGATCTTTCTCAGATGGTGTAGCAATCAGGTTGCGATTTTTAAATGCAGATTGCATTTGATAACTGTAACGTATTTTCATCAAATTAAGCTGTGTCGGATACTGCATACTCCTTAAGAGAAGTTCTGTCGGAACTAACCAATTGTACTATTTAAATTTATTTTGTTTCTTTGTTTGTTTGAATGTTGTTTAACGTCCCTCTCGAGAATTTTTCACTCATATGGAGACGCCACCACTTGCCGGTGGAGAGCTGCAAATTTTGTCCTATACTCGGCACTTACGGCCATTTAGCAGTGAGGGATCTTTTTCGTGCCAGCACCTACTGCGACACGGGACCTCGGTTTATAAGGTCTCATCCGAAGGACCGGTCTCCACGTCCCAAATTTTATTTTGAGTACAGAGCCTTTGTATAGCGTAATTATTATTTGCCCGTCAACTGTTTTTCTGATCCATTGGTGGCGTCCTAATTTTGCCGTTTCTACTTCTTCTTCTCTCTTATGAATCGATAATTTAATTTCTGATTATGAATAGGAGGAAAAGATAAAATTGGACCTAGAGAGCTTATAGAAAATTTAAGTGCAGTTTTTCCTTTCAGTAGTTCTGTTGAATTTTGGATTGTGTGAACAAATTGGATCATTTGCAACAGCTGTTCTAATCATTTTATTGGATAATGCTTAAAATATGCATCAATGAAATATGGATATAACGAACAGTATTCAAGCTCAAAGTCCATTAAAACAATGCAAATCGGGAGCAGAGCAAACACGGACCTCCAAAACCAGAGGTGGGATAAGGTGCCATATCAAATATATTGATCCAACTCAAGAGGTACCTAGGAGGAGTAAGCATCCTCTATCGACCGGTCACACCCACCGTAAGCCCTTTGAATTGATCAGGTAGATGAAATATTAAATAGTCAAATTCAGCATTAAAACAAAGGCCTAACAATTGGTATGAAATATGACAGTCAAAATACGACCATATGGTTTATATTTGGTGACAAGGTCACTGTACCGACCATAGACTTTACGAAGTGCTGAATTTAAACGAGTTGGTTGAAATCTCTGTAGCATTAACTTATCTGTCAGTATCCTGCCTCGGCTTAAAAATTGATCGTACTCATAACATTCTCTTGAGTATCGAAAAGTTGGGAGACATAAACACCATATGCAGGGATAGCGAAATATTACAAAATAAATAAGGAAAATTGTGCAAAACAAGTCACAAATTGGTTGAGTTTTACAGGATTCTGTTCTTTTTGAGAAAATAAATGCTCCTTTCCAACTGAAATTTCAGTTTTGAATTTTGCTTTATAATTTAGAATTTAATTTATAAAACTAATAAATTATAAATAAATGTGATTTGTATCTTTCATGAACTTTTTTTTCTGTCTGAATCATTTTTTAGGAATAATCAAAATTGTTTGAATTCCTAATTCATTTCATTGAATTTAAAAGCGCGATTGCATATTAAAGGATAATAAATACCCATAAATTCATAAGATTGTCATACTTTATTTTGGTATTTAGAGGAATTAGATTTAACCAATAAATCAATCTTCTCTCACCGCCTGTAGAATAAAAATATTATCTCTATATTATATAACTTTGTACTCTAGGAACTCCCAGATTTACACAGTGTCTGCCCTTATGACTCTAATGATGTATTATTATGATTTAATGAGAGCACTATCGGACATTTATTTTTCTGCAATACTCTATGATTGTCTTCAGAACTGACATTCATTTGTTGTTTTTAATGTGAAAATTTTTCCATTTTATTCATGGCCAGATCATTCGGGGGGGAAAAGGGTGTCAATGATGCGTAGCCCAGTTTAAGGTCTACTAATATGTCGAAAATATACTATTTTTTATGGGGAGGGGGAGGACATGCATATTACAGAAAACATTGTTTATCCTTTTTAGCTCTAAAGAATGAAATCTGACAAACTGACACTCCGTGAGGTATGATATGAATTTAACTGTTGAACTAAATTGTATTTAGTTTAAATGTTTACATGACCTAATTCTTGGAAAAAACAAACAAGTGTGCATTTCTAATTTTCTTTCAGAATGAATTTATCTTGACAATCTATAATAAAAGATGGTTGGAGTTCGATTGAAAAGAAGCTTAATTCGATGTGCAATTCTTGTCACCACTCTGATATTCATTGTTTTCCATTACGTTCGATTTTTTCATCAAACAAAACCTTATAAGAAAACATTTACCCCAAACGTACAGATTTTCAGGCCTTATTCCTTGAAATATCATAGTCCAAAACGTTTAGTCTTTGATGTTGACTGTCAAAGAATAATAGAAGGTGATGAACTGCACATAAAATATGCTAGACTTGTAATGAAATCAAAGCAATATGAGTTTTCAAATGATGCAGATATGGAAATGAAAGCTAAAAACTGCAGTATTTTTTTTTTAGATTTACGACTATGAAAATTTCATTGTCTCCAAGGAGGAGCTCAACTTTCCCCTTGCTTATACAATTTTGACACATAAAGATGCCGTCCAAACTGAAAAACTTCTCAGAGCTATCTACAGACCACACAACATTTATTGTATTCACGTGGACAAGAGTTCTAGTACTTCACTTCATAATGCCATGAAGGCAATAGCAAGTTGTTTTCCAAACGTCTTCATTGTTTCGAAAGTTGAGGATGTCATTTATGCAAGTTTTTCTCGATTGCAAGCCGATCTGAACTGCATGACGGATCTTTTGCAAACAAGAGAGGTTCCTTGGAAGTACATGATTAACCTACCATCTCAGGAATATCCCCTCAAAACTAATGCAGAAATAGTTAAGATTTTGAAACTTTTCCATGGCAAAAGTAGTATCGAGGTGCTTAGTGCCGAGAACTGGCGTCATCGCTTTCAAGGGTCACATCAAGTCATTGGTTACGAGGTAGAACCATCCAACAAGAAAAAGGATCCGCCACCCTCTGGTATTACTATAGCAAAGGGGAGTGTGTATGGTATATTTAGTCGAAGTTTTGTGAATTATTCAATCAATGATGTCAATGCTCAGGAAATTTTAAAGTGGTTAGAAGACACGTACAGTCCTGATGAATTCTTTTGGGCGACTTTAGCCAGAAATAGTCACCTTAATGTTCCTGGTGTCTTCTATAACGGTATGAAATCAACTAAGCTGCGGTTCAATATTTTTTCTGGATAGATGTGGTATTTTATTGAAAGGAAACAAAACTATTGATTTTTTTTGGAAATATGTGATGCTCGCTTTTAACTTTACTGGCCAGAGATCAGAAGAGCTTATGCATTAGTAAGGTGTCTGTCTGGCTGTCCGTCTAACTGTCTGATTTTTTTTCAGAATGCTACTCCCCTTACAGTTTTTGGTCCAATTTCAGTAAGTCTTAGAAAACAAGTAGACTTAATTAAAATTCATTATTCTGTCTTTCGGTTTTAGGTTTTGATAAATGGCATTGCCATGGTTATTAAAATAAATGGTCGTTAAAATAAATATTTTCTTTAAAATTTTTTAAAAGGATTCTTCCCCTAAAGTTTATTCCTATTTCTATAAGACTTGGTAAATAAGTAGACTTTACTAAGGTACATAAATCTATATATGGGTTTTTTATTTGACAAAAGGTGTTGCCATAGTAATTAAAAAAAGTAATTTCTTTGAAATTCTTTCAAAATGCTACAGTAACTCCTCCTACGGTTTTGGTCCACTATCAATATGTATTAGAACACAAGTAGACTAAACGAAGATACATAATTCTATTTTTCGTTCCTTTATTTGGGAAATTGGTGTTGCCATGGTTATTAGAATAGACATTTTCTTGAAATTCTTTCAAAACGATCCTAGAGTTTGGTCCAATTTTAATGAGACATGTATCTGTCATGGTAGCTTAGTGGTAGGGCTTTCGATTCGAGGCCCGGGTTCGATTCTTGTTCCCCGCGATGCTTTAAACCTAAGACGTAAACAAAGGTAGTGACTGTTCCTTCGCCAAGAGCCCGGTACTAAATGTGAATTTTACGGGTCTATCGGGTGAGACCTTAAAAGCAGAGGTTCCGCGTAACTGTAATGATCCCTCATTGCTCAATGGCACTGAATGCCGCAGAGTAAAGGTCTTAATCTGAAGCCCTTTATCGGCATACGTTGACGTCTCTATAAGACTTAAAATTTCTCGTATAGACGTTTAACAACACCATCAATTAATCAATTAGACGTGGTACACAAGTAGACTATAATAAGCTACATTATTCTCTGTATCGGTTTTTGATTTCGACAACAGTGTTGCTATGCTTACTTAGAGTAGAAATTTCTTTGAATTCTTATAAAACGCTTCTCCGCCTACAGTTTTGATCAGTTTTGATCTGATGAGAATTTTATACAAGAAGACTTTACATAGACACATCTTTATTATAAGTACACACCAGTAGAGCTACAGTCTTATAAGAGACTTCTGCTTGTTTTATTTTTTCTGGAAAACACACACTGGAAACATATAATGAACTTACGTATGATAAAAGTATACAATCAGGTGTAGTATGCTACATTTGTACAATCATATATTTTCTTTAGCACTTTCTTATAACGTTTATAACATTTATACTTCATTTTTAAATTTTTGAATTTAAAATACCTTGCAGGTTTTAATGGCAGTAGATTCTGGATTGCTGTAACGGTGTCCTGGGAAGTTGAACGTAAATGTCATGGGAAATATGTCCACCTCATCTGTGTGTTTGGCATTGGTGATCTGAACAAACTCGTATCAGAGAAAACGCTTTTCGCAAACAAGTTTTACCATAACTATCAGCCTCTGGCATTACAGTGTCTGGAGGAATGGCATTTCAATAAAACCTTCAGTCAAGTACCTTTTGACTCCTATTATTATAGGAATTTATTAAATCAATAAAAAAAACATTAGTCTTATTAAAAGCGTGCAGAAAAGTGTTCATCATGTCATCAGCTTTGAGATGCATTTTGTCTTTAAATATACATACCAATACATATTGTGAATATGGAATGTAGTGTTTTAGGTTTCATTAGAATAATTTATTACTTGCCCTTTCAAATGTAGAGACTTTTACTAACAGAAAAATATTAAATATCAAGCAAAATAAGGAGGAAAAAAAGCTGTTTCAGAAAATTAAGGAAAAAAAAACTTGGAAGCGCAATGTTCACCACTATGGCCCAAACTATTTTTTAAAAATATCTAGATATTCAGTTATAAGGAACAATGAAATGTGAAGGTAACGAACAGTAACCATGCTCAACATCCAATTAATCAATACAGATTATGAGCAGAGAAAACATGGATCTCTGAAAAGAGGGGTGGGATCAGGTGCCATAGAGGAGTGAGCATCCCCTGTCAACCTGCCACACCCGCCATCTGCCCCTTGTCATAATCGGGTAAAAGGAAAATCCGTTGACAATACAGTATGAAAAATAGCCTAATATTTTATATGAAATATCTTAGAAAACATTTGACTTAGATATGAAATATGGAGATAGCGAACAGTATTCAAGCTCCATTAAAACAATACAAATGGGGAGCAGAGCAAACACGGACCTCCAAAAACATTAGAGGTGGGATCAGGTGCCATGGAGGAGTGAGCATCCCCTGCCGACCGGTCACACCAGCCGTGTACCCCTCATGATAGGGAAATAACGGAAAAATCCGTCGACAATTCAGTGGATAAATAATGGCATAACAATTAGTATGAAAAGTGTCAATCAGCATAAATTATGACTTAATGATAGATTGTATTTGCTGACAAGGTCATTGTATCGACCATGGAACTTACGAAATGATGACTTTAAACGAGACTGTTGATATTCTTGTTTCATCGACTTTTTTTTCAATAACTTACCTCGTTTTAGAAATTGTTCATACGTAGAGCATGCTCTTGTATATCGAATCAACTGAGAAATATACACTCCAAGTGCAGATGATAAGGGCATATTGCTGCATAAGTAAGGGAAGTTTACGATTGAAAAGTTAAAGTCATCACGTTATCAAAAAGCTTTGTTGTTAGATTACCATTAACGTCTTTTTGTAGTAAGATATCCAAATATGAAACAGATGTGCCAGACTCTGTGGTATCTTTTATTTCAAGCTCACTGGGATATATCGTGTCGACATATGAATGGAAATAACTATTGTTAACAACTTCAGAGTACTTGTGTGTACAATCAGAATGTTTTTTAACAAAATTATTCTGCAAATGACCAATGACAAGGTAAGTAAATTTACGAGTTCCATTTTTATTGATCAAGCAGCTGTCAATGATGTCAAAAAGCCTTGACTTTAATTTGTCGCGGGGAATGGTTTTATACAGAGTTGAAAAGTCGTAAGTTTTTATGCTATTGATTTTGGTAAACTTTTTGATTTCAAATTTTCTAAAAGTTCCTTGATTTTTATAATTAAGTATCCACATTTGATTTACAATACTTCTCGAATCATATCTGCTAACAAAGTCATTTTAACGACCCTAGAATTCGCGAAATGTTGACTTCAGACAATATTGCTGATATGCAGATATCCTTATCCTTTGTATCATCAACTACTATGCCAATAGCCTGTCTCAGTTTAGAAATTGTTCGTAAGTACAACATGAATTATCGCATCGAATTTTCTGTAAGAAGGTCAAGGGACATGTTTAACCCACAAAGTCGCAAGACTAATATCTTAAGGAATGGTCTATTATAATAAGCATCGAAAGTACATTTTTAGATTTAAGGAATTATCAGAAAAATTGCCGTTGAGAAAAGAAAATCGAAAGTCAACTTTCAGGTCACTAGGTCAAAAACTTGATATTTTCAAAAAGGTTAGGGGCAAATATGGCACATGATAACTACAATAGACCTAGCCCTCAGATTTGAAGAATGCAGTGCTTGTTGTTCAGTTATTTTTTAACATTTGATCAATGGCGAAGTTAAAGGTAACAGATTTGAAGCTCGTACTTTCTAAAATTATCTAAATAATATTATGACTTATATGTTGCCAGAGCATTTCACACCGAAATATTTTAAGAGCGTGTTTAGAAACTCCTTCTATCTGGAAATTATTAAAGCTACGAATTTCGGGACGCGTTTCATTGTCACATATCCTTGCACATTCACAAAGTAAACTTTATCCATAATACCTAAAAAAAAGTCGAAAATTTGTTGTGTATAAATTAAAAATATGAAAATTATAATCCAAAAGGTTCAGAGTAGAATTGCGAGAAAGCAAAACCAACTCACCAGTATTGTCAGTCTGTGCTCAGCGATGTGTGCAGACTAAACAAATTGAACACACTCGGTAAAACGAAAACACTAACAATAACAGAGCTCATACCCTGTTTACAAACACAGGTGAAGAATGCCGTTGTCATCGAACTCTTAGAATATTCATGTACATTGTAAGTGATTGTTATCTCCATATTTCATTCAAATCAATAAACTGAAGCTTGAAGTTATTTTTGAATAAAATATACATTTAAAATTGTAAACAATGCATCTAGCTGTGTCCAGGCCCCTTTAATAACACTTTATTTTACCAAAACCCTATTATCAAGCACCAAGCAAAACAATCAAAATATGTTGCGTGTGACAGACAGCTAGAAAAACGTCTTCACAGGCTTATAGAGAAATGTCTGGTAAAGTGCTTCCTACGTGTAGCTTTGTTTTGCAGGTGACATAGAAAAACAGAAAAAAAGACTTCTACTTGATATGATTATTCGGAGTATAGAAACATATGCATGTTCTACTGACAGCAGAAAGTACTATACTTCAAATGTTAAAAAAAGTGTATCATAAATTACTTAACTCACTGTTGTTATCTTTTATTCGTAAAACGATTCTGAATTTGCGGAAACTATCCTTTCTGATAAGAAAAAAAAGAGTTTTAAAAAATCGATTTTAGTGTTTCAGTGGCTTTTCAAAAATTAAAAAAAATATCAGAGGTTTGATTGTATAATCAATAGACATTAAAATATTATTATCGCATCGGATTTGAATGGTATAGATATCGGTTTTAAGATGTGTCTCCTATTTTCAACTATTAATTTATATTGAAGTTTATATACTTTTCTTTTGAAAATATAAAATATATAAAAATAAATAAGAAATAAAAGTAACAATGAAAATGTCAAAGATTAGTTTTATATTAATAAAAAATATAGAAACGTACTGACATTTTTACAAAGGCTGTTCAAACAGGCACTGACCTTGAATTTAACTAATTTTATGACTTTTCTACACTTTTTGGTTGTTGAGCTGTTGAAGAATTCATATTTATTGCACAAAAAAAGTTTGTTACTCTTACGTAACACAGTATTGCCATTTGTGATCCGATCACAGCTTAGGTAAGTCTTCGTAAATTTGGTAATTGCTTTAGATACGTTAGTATCAGATAAGTAAAACTTTTTTGATTGATTTTGAATTGAAATTATGTAAATAATAGATTCCTAAGACATAAATAAATAAACCGCAGGTTTTCTTTGGTGTTCAAATAGGCAACTTTGAGTTTTCTTTATAAATCTGTACAAATTGAATGACATAATTACGAAATCTTACAAAATTTCAAGACTTACTCTGGAAAAATCATTGAAATGAAATCAATCAGATGTAAATCTTATACGGTACCAATTTTGATGCACCAGATGCGCATTTCAACAAATTATGTCTCTTCAGTAATGCTCATGCCAAAACGTTGGAAATCCGAAATATTTGAAATAAAAAAAACGAAAGAGCTGAAAAAGGGTGCCAAAGACTGGACCAAATAGGTCGAGCAATCAGAGCTATGCATGAGGGAGATAATCACTATTCAATATTTACTAAATTTTACCACAGTAATTAAATATATTTCCGTATTTTCAAGCCACCAGCAGAGGCCTCGACCCAGGGGTCATAATGTAAATCTTATACGGTACTAATTTTGATGCACCAGATGCGCATTTCAACATATTATGTCTCTTCAGTGATGCTCATGCCGAAACGTTGGAGATTCCGAAATATTTAAATTTTAAAGAACTGTGACTAATATCCACATATATCAACATGATAGTTCTCTTCCTACAGTTCCATAATATCCTCCAAACCTCCGGGGCTGTAGTCCTGGACTTAGGGATCAGTGTAACCAGTCCTAACGATTCCTGCGTCTACTTCATAGACATCATCAGCGTCATCTTCATGGGCATTAACTTCATCAACATCATCATTGACATCATCATCATTATCGACATCATCGTCATTGTCAACATCATCCTTATGAAATACACTTTAGCAAGGTGCTAAAATATGAACCCTCTTTCTTCAGTAAATTATTCATTCATAACTAGGATGGGAGTTGGTAAAGTGTTTACTCAGTTGGTATGGTAAGCAGCTGGTAGTTAGTCACTCAGTCGGTAGGAATGGCAGTTGGTAATCAGTTAATCATTTGGCAGATATGACAATTGGTAATTAGTTATTGGTCGGTAGAGATGGCAGAAGGTAATCAGCTACTAGTCGGTAGAGATGGCAGTTGCTTATTAGTTATTGAGATGGTATGGATACAGGGCCTAATTGGCGACTAATTTAGTTGCCATGGCGCCTAAAATTTTTGATTGGCGCCTAATTTTTTTCCGTAAGTCGCCAAATTGGCGACCGTTTTAAATTGACTTGGCGATCGTCGACGGAAATTTTAACATTTTTAACCATTTTTCTGAAAAAGCAAAAAAAAAAATTAAAAAAAAAAAAAAAAAAAAAAAAAACCTTAAAAGAAGAGGAAATTATTTTTAGCAATGGAAATGTCGTGTTTTCTTAGTCACGTCATGGGTGCTTATATTGATTACTATTAACTTTTTAAGTTAGTGCCTTAAAAAAATTGCCTGGGCGACTAAAAATTTGCATTGGCGATTGAAATTTTTAGATAAGGCGCCAGCCGGCGCCTAAATTTTAAAGGCTACTTAGAGGCCTGAGATAAAAGCTGGAAACTGCTTACTCACTTGGTAGGGATGGCAGTTGCTAATAAGTTGCCTGATTGTTAGGGATAGCAGTGGGAAACTGTTTAGTCGCTTGGTAGGGATGGCATTTGGTAATTACTAGGTCGGTAGAGATGGCAGTTGGTGAGAAGTAACTCGGTTAGTAGGGATAGCAGTTGGTATTAGTTACTCGGTTAGTAGGGATAAGGATAGCAGTTAATTATTACTTACCTGGTTGTTAGGGAGAGTAGTTGGTAATTAATTACTCAGTACGGATAGCAGTTGGAACTGTTTACCCTTTGGTAGGGATGACTTTTAGTAGTTACGTACTAGGTTAAAAGGGAAAACAGTTGATAATTAGTTACTCGGTTAAAAGCGATGGCAGTTGGTTATTAGTTAGCAGGGATAGCAGTTGGTAGTTAATTTTTCGGTTGGTAGGGATAGCAGTTGGGAAATAGTTATTCAAATGATCGAGAGAGAAATTGGAGAATAGCTACTCGGTTAGTAGGGATAGCATTTGAAATTTGTTTACTCAGTTGATAGGGATGACATTTGGAATTAAGTTACATGGTTGATAAAGATAGTTGTTGGTAATTAGTTACTAGGTTGGTAACGATTGTAGTTGGTAACCAAAGTTCTTCGTATTAAAATCGTCGAAGTTATTGGTTAGTTTGTGATGCGTCAATACATCTTCAAACACATCGTCAGTGCCCAATCTCAGTGTCCGGCTTTTTTGTTTCAGTTTGTAATGTGTCAATACATCTTCAAACACATCTTCAGTGCCCAATCTCAGTGTCCGGCTTTTTTGTTTCAGTTTGTGATGTGTCAATACATCTTCAAACACATCGTCAGTGCCCAATCTCAGTGTCCGGCATTTTTAAATCATATGCTAATGATATGCATATAATCACGAAAACATTATTGTTAATCTGCTTCAAATGTGTCTCTTATCCCACACTACCATCTGCGTTTGTTGATTAAATTATATTCTTTAAGCACAATTTGTAAACAAGTTGATAGTTCTGAAGATGACAATGAAGAATGAACTCGTAACATCAGATCTTTTGTGAATAGGAATAAAATAGAAAATAAAACCTATTAATGTGTATGTTGATAAGATTAATCCGATAATCGGTCAAAACATGCTGAAATTAATCGACTGACAATTCATTCAATTGCCATCCTTACTTTCAACAAATGAATAAGTTCTCTATTCCAATTGACTGGCTAACCACAAATATTCTCTTTTGGACTTGTGATATTGAAAAAAATACAATCCGACTTTGCAAAGACGAATACCAGTATCTATCAAATTCACAGACATGGATATTGGTAATTATAAAATTAATGTATTATTTTTTTAACAGATGAAAGGTGAACCGCTGGTCTCTTTTTAATCAGATATGAGGCGTTCAAGGTTTCGAAAACTTATTTTCAGTTCTGTTGCCATCATAGTTGTCGTCTTTGTAAGAAGCATTTCAAAAGAATTGAAGATCACCACTTTGTTATTCAATCAGCTAAAACATCAACAACAGCTAATCCATGAACCATTCAATTTGACTTCACTTATTCCTCGTAGACCAGGTCCTAACCGTTTGGTGTATGAGGTAGACTGTCAACGCATAATTGAGGGTGACAAACAATATATATCAATTGCTAATGATGCAATGGCAAAAATAAAGTATACATATCCAGCAGACAAACAAATCGGAGACCTAGCTCAAAACTGTACCAAATTTAAAGAAATATTTAACTATGAGCTATACCCCGTGTCCCGAGAAGAATTTGATTTTCCCATTGCTTATACAATACTGACTTATAAAGATTCCGTACAAACAGAAAAACTGCTCAGAGCCATTTATCGACCTCAAAATATCTATTGTATACACGAGGACAAAAGTTCAATTGTTGATTCCTCCTTACTATACGCCATGACATCCATAGCAAATTGTCTTCCCAATGTTTTCATTGCTTCACAACTGGAGGATGTCATCTATGCAGGGTTTTCTCGATTGAAAGCTGACCTCAACTGTATGTCAGACTTACTATATAACACAGACATTAAGTGGCGGTATGTCATAAACTTACCATCACAGGAATACCCTTTGAAAACTAATGCAGAAATCGTAAAAATCTTAAAAATTTATAATGGAACAAGCAGCATCGATAGTGCTCACGATGATAAAATGTATTATAGGTGCAATGAATCTTACATTGTTAGAGACCAAAAGGTAGAAGCATCGGGAAAGAAAAAGGATCCGCCACTTTATAATATTACTGTGGGGAAAGGAAGTGCATATGGTGTTTTTAGTTGGAGTTTTGTGAATTATTCAATAAAAGATGTCAAAGCTCAGGGTATTTTAAAATGGTTAGAAGATACATACAGTCCTGATGAATTCTTCTGGGCGACATTGGCCAGCAATAAACATCTAAATGTTCCTGGTGTTTTAGGTGAATAAGGGTAAAACCACAAATACGATCATAATTGTAACAAACCGAAAACATACAAATTTAGTAAATGTCAATATTATCAACGTTATAATATATGCAATATGTAATAGAGAGGATATTTCTTTGTAGGCTATCCAACTAGAAAATTATGGGTAGCATCTAGTACAAAGTGGCATCAGGACTCAGAAGATTGTCAAGGAAAGTTTGTCCATGACGTTTGCGTGTTTGGCGACTTAAGCAAACTAGTGTCAGTGAAAGAAATTTTATCATGACTATCAACCTCTAGCACTGCAATGCATGGAGGAGGTATCTCAATAAATCCTTTAAACCAGTACAATTTGAAACATATTATTATAGGAAATTAACTCGATAAGCATATAGTGATTTATTTTGTTGTTGTTTTGTTTTGGTTTTTTCCCTAACATTGATAAAGAAGATTTTGTTTTGTAGATTTGTCTAAGCAAATCTTAAGACTTTCTAACATAGTAACCCTTTTGTAATGAAAAAAAAATGCATTTAAAAAATTCAATACTTTATAAATTTTACAGCGATTTGGTCTATAAGTATAATTTCATAGATCTTTAATCAAATGGAGAAAAATTAGAGGAAAACAATACAACCAGAAAATAGATATATAAGACTATCTAAACAATATCCTCATGTGTGTTTTTGTTCTTCCTCTTCTTTCATCTATAGTCCTGCTGGACACATCATTACTGGTGATGAAAATATATTTTAAAATAAGAAATAAAAGCTATCACTTTAAAAGGTCCTTAATCAGAGAGCCCAGATAATTCAATTGGCGACAGAACTTTTTGTACGACTTCCATGGAGGATTATGCTGGACGATGGGGGTAAATATGAAGGGGAAGACCTTGACACCCTGACAGAATGGATTAAACGTTTTAGCTATATTTAAAAGAATCGCATTAGAAAATCGAAGAGCAAAATGTTAACTATCCTTCCGTTTTCAGAAGACCAGATGTGATAAAAGAATTGCAACATGAGAACCATCTATCCTTCTGTGTTCAATAATCCAGAAGTGAAAAAAGAATTAGATAGATTACATGATCAGTACGCACTGGTCACTGCTGACAAAGCAGGTAACAACATTGTCTTTTTTTGTAAGGCTCATTATATTAAATGTATTTTAGAGGAACTTGGATTTAATTCTACAAGTGGTAATCCAACTTATATTCATAGTTCCCTTTCTAAGGAAGAACTTCTTCAAAATCATATGTCAGTTTTGAATATTTTTAATATTCCAAACAACCAAAATGAATCTGAATTACCTTATCTATATTGGATTCCGAAACTTCATAGAAATCCTTACAAACAAAGCTACATAGCGGGTTCCAGTAAATGTTCAACCAAGCCTCTTTCTTTACTCCTCACTAAGATATTAGCAGTAGTGAAGGGGAAACTTCAAAAGTACTGTGCAACAATATATTCGAGAAGTGGTGTAAATCAGATGTGGATACTTAAAGATTCCAAGGAACTTTTGGAAAATTTGAAATCACAAGATTTTACCAAAATCAACAACTTAAAAACTTATGACTTTTCAACTTTATACACAACCATTCCCCACGACAAATTAAAATCCAGGCTTTTTGATATCATTGACTGCTGCTTTTTCAATAAAAATGGAACTCGTAAATTTACTTACCTTGTCATTGGTCATTTACAAAATTGTTTTGTTAAAAAACATTCAGATTATACACACAAGTACTCTGAAGTTGACATTGATAAGAAAAGATGCTTGGGTTTCTGATTGACAATATCTATGTGGTTTTTGGAGACCACGTACGTATTGTCAATTAACAATGGTTATTTCCTTTCTTATGTCGATACGATATATCCCGGTGAGCTTGAGATAAAAGATACTACAGGATGACACATCTGTTTCATATTTGGATATTTTACTTGAAAAAGACGTTAATGATAATCTAACAACCAAGTTTTATGATAAACGTGATGACTTTAACTTTTCAATCGTCAACTTCCCTGACTTATGCAGCAATATACCTTCATCACCTGCATACGGGGTTTATATCTCTCAGTTGATTCGATACGCAAGAGCATGCTCTACGTATGTACAATTTCTGAAACGAGATAAATTATTGACAAACAAGTTGATGAAACAAGAATATCAGCTGTTTCGTTTAAAATCATCATTTCGTAAGGTCTATGGTCGATACAATGACTTTTTCAGCAAATACAATTTATCATTGAGTCAAATTCTGACTGACGTTTTTCATACTAATTGTTAGGCCAGTATTTACACACTGAATCGTCGATTTTTCCGTTATTCCCGATCATGACAAGGAGGACACGGCGGATGTGACCGGTCGGCATGGGATGCTCACTCCTCCATGGCACCTGATCCCACCTCTGATGTTTTGGAGGTCCGTGTTTTCTCTACATCTATTTTGTAATGTTTAATGGACTTTTGAGCTTGAGTACTGTTCGTTATCTCCATATATTTCATTACATGTGAAGTCTACTAAAATCACTTACTACTTGCAGAATTAAATCCAAGTTCCTCTAAAATACAATTATGATAAGCCTTAAAAAGACAATGTTGATTCTTGATTTTTCAGGTAGGACAAGTAAATATTTGATCGGGTAAAAATTTTAATCTTTTTTCTCTGCTGAATTATTGAAGACAAAGGGATGTACCGTATAACGGGTATTTTCTGCGGTTGGAAATTTTTGCGATTTAACCCCTAAAAGGTAGCAAATTAATTTCTGCGTTTTCAATTTCTGCGGTTGCATTATACCGCAAAAATTTATTTATGAGGTATGATCATGCACTAAGCTTTATGAATTATCAGAACGCTGTCATGTTTACGTTTTATAGATTCATTAAGATATATTGTTCAAAGGTGCATGAGAACTGGTATTAAGCTATTAAGCTTAATTAAACTTCTATCTTTTAGTTAGTTTTTGTAAAAATATGTCGAGAAATGAATTAATCCAGTGTCAGTCACCCAAACAACAATAAAAATCTTTATTCTAACAGACGTTTTATGCGATCTATTAAAATATTTAAATATATAGATAATGATAATAAATGCACCCAAGCCATATTCTAAAATACACTTCTAGTTAATTGCCATAAAAATTAATTTGGTGTTTATATTTTAAGCTAAAACAAACAGTTGCATAATCTAGTACCCTAAAGTTGATGGTTAACTATCACAGGTACCATGTGCATCGAGGCGTAACTAATCCTGTCAGTCGTATGCATTAGGTGAAATTCACGAGGCAATCGAGCCACATTGTGTATACAATCAGTAATTATTGTCTCAATATTAACACAAGATTGAAAAAAGTGTTTAAAGAAGAAAAGCTACCATGTGTTGTTTGCAGCTATCGGAGTCTGGACTAGTAATTGCGAAATAGGTACAAGAAAAGCTAATTTTGTATCAACTTATTTAATTGATATTATTTACAGGAAGGTTTTGATTCAATATGTTTGGACAAATCCTGACATCTAAAATCTTCGCATTTCGACGACACGCGGATTTTCTCGCTAACGAGGACGTGGCCACTCATGAGTCTGCGGACGCATCGATTTTAAAAACCTTGCCTTTCAAACAATTTTGCTGCGTGCAGTACGCAGGTTCTTGCGTTAATAAGAACCCTGTCAGACATACGCACCACTTATCATAATTGCATGTATAAAACATGTAAAATATCTGATTGAATATTGAAAACAAATATTTTGCGATTGTAATTTTTGCGGATTTGTCCTATCCGCAAAATTCCGCAAAAAAATGGACAACGGCAGAAAATACCCGTTATACGGTATGTTTCTCATATTGCCCCTCAACCGTTTAATGCGAGATTTCAACATCCATCTGACACTTTTGATCCATTCCGACAAAGTGTTAAGGTCTTTCTTTCAGGCTTGGCCCATTGCTTGGCGTAATCTTCCACAGAATTCATAATATCTACGGAATTATGACGCCAGTTAAAAAATTGGGATACCATAAATATTGGCCCTTTTAAAATAAGTGATTTAAGGTCCTGATATTTACATTGTAACTATATTCACGTCACTAGTAATGGGCTGTCCAGCAGCACTATAGTTTTAGGGTTATTCTACGGAATAGAATTACCCTTTGTGGGCTTATTTATGTTCACTTAATAAAAGAATATCGGGACCTAGATTTCAAATTAGCAATGGGGGGCCAGCAGCTTATCTGCAAGCACTTCAATTTACCTGATCATTCTATATTGTCAAGTTAGAATTCTAGAAAAGATTTACCATCATACTAATAGTCCATCAATGAGTACACGTTTCCGTAATCAACGAGAAAAATACTGGATTAGAAAACTAGGCATGGCCTTTCCATATGGTAGCAATGAAAATATCGATAGTGTTTGGAATCTTTCAAGTCCACAGTGTAGTAATGTGTATGTGATGGGACTTTTTAACATTAAAGAGACGTAAGCGTATTAAAGTCATGGACATCAGACTTACAATAGACATATTATACATTATTTCTCTTTTGATTCACTATAACAGAATAGATCAACAACACAGTATTGGCACTCTTTGTCATGGCTTTATTTTAATAATACATGTTCAATTCAGATTCGACAATCACTATATCAATTCAATTTATTATTGTATTATGTAATATGTCATTAAACGAAAATCCGGATCTATATATGTAAATAAACAATTAGGTCTTCATCACATTTGCAACAAACTTTGTCCCTTTGAAAATTTTAAATAGTCTATTTGAAAGGTCAAGGAAAGTCCATATTTGGATTTTTCGACACAAAAATAAAGGCTCAGATCTGTGATTATGGATATTGCAAATCATTGGCTTTTTAAACCGCCACGTTTTACGATAGAGAATACCTGTCAAGCAACTTGTTTGTTTCTTAAACTTCAATTTGCCAACAAAGGAATTGGCGCATTATTTATAACTAATATTCCTAATCACAAAAGGATCCAGTCACCCGCGTTTGCTCTAGAGTCGCGGAGTAAGGAGTTGATCCTTACGTCGCAGGTTCGAATCCCACTGTGGGACGTGGAGACCGGTCCTTCGGATGAGACCGTATAAACCGAGATCCCATGTCGCAGTAAGTGCTGGCACGGAAAAGATCCCTCACTGCTCAATGTCCCTGAGTGTCGAGTATAAGTCAAAATTTGCAACTCTCCACGGGCAAGTGGTGGCGTCTCCATATGAGTAAAAAATTCTAGAGAGGGACGTTAAACAACAATAAACAAACAAACAAACAAAAGGATCCAGTCTTGTATTCCACCATATTTTAAGCTGAAGTCCTCACCTTGTATTCCTTCCAAATATAAATCGATTATTGCTTCCAAACATTTTAATTAATAA